CGGTTTGCGCCACTAACAAGACGTCTAACCGTTCTCCTGATGGGTTGCTCCGACCGCTATCTGTCCCTTCGAGACCCTGGTCCCACATCGCACTAGATTTTATTACCGCCCTCCCACCCTCTAAAGGCATGACGGTTGTTTTGACCGTAGTGGACCGGTTCTCGAAGGCGGCACATTTCATTCCCTTGCCCAAATTACCTTCAGCCAAGGAGACAGCGGTCACGGTCATTGATCACGTCTTTCGGTTACATGGCCTCCCGAAGGACGTGGTTTCTGACAGGGGTTCCCAATTTGTGTCTAAATTTTGGCGAGAGTTTTGTAGGTTATTGGGAGCTACGGTCAGTCTGTCTTCGGGTTATCATCCCCAGAGTAATGGTCAATCCGAACGAGCCAACCAGGATTTGGAGAGAATGTTACGATGTATGGTAGCCAAGAATCCTTCATCCTGGAGCCAACAACTTTCTATGGTTGAGTACGCTCATAATTCGTTACCAGTGTCATCAACGGGCCTCTCTCCGTTTAAGTGTAGTTTAGGTTACCAGCCACCAATTTTTCCGAGCCTGGAATCCGAGGTCGCGGTCCCCTCCGCTCACGCATTCGTCCAGAGGTGTCGCCACACTTGGACCAGAGCCCGTGAGACTCTGCTCCAAGCGGGGAGGCGCATGAAGGCCAAGGCCGATCGCCACCGGTCAAAGCCTCCCGTATACGTCGTGGGTCAAAAAGTGTGGCTTTCTACCAAGAACATTCCGCTCCGTTCCGTTTCCAATAAGTTAGCCCCCAAATTCATTGGCCCGTTCCCTGTCACCAAGATCATTAGTCCGGTGGCAGTCCGACTCAAACTTCCTCCGGCGTACAGGAGAATTTGTCCCGCCTTTCATGTGTCTAAAATCAAGCCCGTGTTTTATTCTCCCATTAATCCGCCAGTCCCGGTTCCCCCCCCGCCGCGACTCGTAGATGGGGAACCCACTTATTCGGTACACCGTATTCTGGACTCTAGACGGAGGGGACGCGGATTTCAGTACTTGGTGGACTGGGAAGGTTACGGTCCGGAGGAGAGGAGTTGGGTACCTGCTAGAGACATTCTGGATCACTCCCTTATCGATGATTACAATCGGCAGGTAGGTTCGGCTGGGAACGCCAGGAGGCGTTCCTAGGGGAGGGGGTACTGTCACGTTTCATGGATCCACTGTCTCATTCTGATATGTTGTGTGTGTGTGTATGTGTGTCTGTGTGGCGTGGTTACTAATTCCCGGTTGATTGTGTGCACCAGCTGCAAGCCCTTACCAGTTGCTTTATATGCCCAGTAATTCCCATCTCACATTGTCAGATCGTTGTGGCTTTCCCGGTGTCGTGTTCCTGTTCCTGTGTGGTCTTCGCTTCTCCTCGTGTGTTCCAGTCTTCGTGGGTCTTCGTCGTTGTCCCCGGTCTGGATTGTTTATTGTTCCTGGTTGATCACTCCGTCTTCATCTCCACGAGACTCCGGTTTGCCCATCGACGTCCCTGTTGTCACAGTTCCATCTGAGTGTTTGTCCCCGACCTGTGTTTTCCTGTGACTTGTCTGACCAACTAATAAACTAACTTTTACTTGCAATTGTATCCGATTCGTTCGTCATAGTATTAAAACAATAAAAGACCGGAAATATTTCAGTTGGTGTGCAATGAATCTAAAATATATGAAAGTTTAATTTTTATCATTACATTATGGAAAATAATGAACTTTATCACAATATGCTAATTTTTTTAGAAGGACCTGTATATAGGCCTATTATATATTTATAAACTTTTATGTTAGATGCGATAAATCATGATTAATCGATTTGACAGCACAAATGTCTAATATCTACTAAGCACTAATATACATGCCTATATCATTACAAATTCATATATATTTATGTCCTACCAACAGGAAAACGTTTAGCTTCAGAACTTTAGCTAATGTTGTCTCAAGGTTCTCTTAAAGTTATAAACAAAAATTCTTCCAGTAACGTTAATATAACGTTCGTTCAGAATTATCTGGTCTTTAATAATGTTCTCAAAAAGTTAGAACAAAAACATTATTATACTTAACCTACAGATACATCAGATCAGTGGCGTGCACAGACCTCCTCAGGGGCAGGGGCGGAGGGACCAAAAAGGGCACTCATTTTTTTATTTATTTAATTTAAAGTCCCTGTAAAGGCAATTTCAAAAAAAAATTCTAAACACATTATAAATGTTAGAAATGTGTTGCTAAAACATATTACAAAGACTGTGAACTGTGAGGTACTGATTTGTGGAGTTAGACCGTTAAACAGTTTTTCACCATTGCTATTTTCCGGATTTTCTGGGCGGGGCTAAAACAGGGCTCGATGACGCACTGGAGCCCTTGAGCTCCTGGACACGCCCCTACTTGATGACGCACTGTAGCCGCTGAGGCTGGCCGCTCCTAACAATATTATAGAGCACATTCACATCAGTTTGCCGCTCAATCGCGAGTTACTGTCAGCACTATTATTAGTAACACAGCCTACAGATTGCTAGCTAGCTATGCCTTCGTCACGGAAATGCGTAGGCCTACTACCTGGATGCGATCACCGGATCACGTACAAAACAGATCGGTGTCCTTATTTAAATTTCCGAAAAACGATTACATCAAGAAGAAGTGGATTAATTTTGTGAAGAGCCACCTTGATGGAGAGCTGAGGATCACCGCCAACACCCGCCTCTGTAAGTGATCATTTTACACGGGATAGTTTTATAAACTTTCGTCGGAGATAACTGTCTGGGATTCACTGATAATCCGCTGTTACTGGTGAATGGGGCCGAACCGACTCCCGCCTGGCCTTCATCCTCCCGTCGCGCCGACAACTGGTGTCATCGGCAGTGCGTGCCCACTGCCCACCGTGCGAGCATCCATTCCGGCTGTAGAGTTGAGTGTGGCGAGTCGACGGCAGCTTTCCCGCGAGTGGGCGTGGTTTCAGCGCAGCCAGTGGACACGCCCCCAGCGTTTGAGAGCAGAGATTACTGCTCATTTCTTCAAGATTTTGATAGCTTATTTTATGTACTTGCTGGCTTTTTTTATCATTCAAATTTGGCTGGGTGACTAATAACTAATTTTTCTGTGGTGTGACAAACTCAAAACACATACTTAATTTTGACTTTACAGGGACTTTAACAGTACCTGGATTTTTATTCTCTCTATTCAGCCAACTTGTGAGAGGGATGCTTCCTTTGGCTGCATCAGAGAGTTCCTTTATTTTTTTATTCTTTCTTTCCTTGGCATTCTAAGAAAATATGTTTTTACAATTATTAGAATGCATAACACATCAAATGAAAATAGGGAAATTATGATAATATTACTAAATATTATTTACTTTAGCAAACAAAACAGTGAGAATCAAGAAAGTAAAATTAATACTTTTATGGAAAATTAATTTTTAGTTTTGTTGATGTTGTAAATTTAATGTATGTATTATATGTATGAAAGACAGTGTTAGCTATCATGAATCAGTAACACTTTACAGTAAGGTTTCATTAGTTAAATTAGTTAGCATTAGCTAATAATGAACTGCACTTCTACCGCCTTTATTAATCTTAGTTAATATTTATTTCAGCATTTACTAAAACATTAAAATCAAAAGTTGTATTTATTATCATTAGTTAATGCACTGACTGTGACATAACATGAATAAACAATTAACAGTTGTATTATTAACTAAGATAAACAGTAACAAATGTGTTGCTCATGGTAAGTTCATGCTAGTTCATACATGAGTAATGAACAAATGAACCTTATTGTAAAGCGTTACTATGAAATCAAAGATATAAGTTCCTTACAATTTAGAGTTGGACATTGACTTAAGATTTCATTTAACTAGATGTATTTCCCCTTGCACTTTTATTCCTTGGATAAAAACGAAAAACATTGTCACTCAGAATGCGTCTGAAATCGAGTTATACTTGTATTATAGTTAAGAATAACTCGCTTGCTGCCGCAACTTTTAGAGTAGCATGGTGATCGTAGTAGGATAAATGTAATCTTCCGTATTAGCTTTAACGTTACCTGCTGCTCGTTTGAAGACTCGCGCGAACTGCTGCTAGTGCGTACCAGAACCGTTAAATGCGTACGAGGCGCTGCAGGAAACTCCGCCTACCACTTCTCCGCTAAAAAATTTTTTTATATAATATTTGTTTGTATTATTATTGTTAGTGGCAAGGGTGTGTTAGTGTATTGTTATTTATTATAATAATTATAATTATAATTATTATTATTTACAATTATCAGAAAAGGGCACAATACATTTTGAGACATGATCAAAATGATGTGGCAAGGGTGTGTTAGTGTATTGTTATTTATTATAATAATTATAATTATAATTATTATTATTATTATTTACAATTATCAGAAAAGGGCACAATACATTTTGAGACATGATCAAAATGATCATGTGGCAAGGGTGTGTTAGTGTATTGTTATTTATTATAATAATTATTATTATTATTATTATTATTATTATTTACAATTATCAGAAAAGGGCACAATACATTTTGAGACATGATCAAAATGATCATTTGATTCACCCCCCCCCCCCCCCGCGTCCCCCCCCCCCCCCCCCCCCCCCGTGCACGCCTCTGCATCAGATACATTTTACCTGAAACATTTAGTTGGATGTTTGTCTAACATTTTCTTAAATGTTACTATTTCTTTCAGAATATTCAGAGAACTTGCCATTATGATTGAAAAATACAATGGAATGTTTCCATAGCGTTCAGTAAAAAACGTTTAAGAGAACATTCATAAATATCGATTTCATAACTTAATGGCAACGTTAACAAAACGTTCTTATTTATGCTAGCATATTAATATCCAGCCATGACACAAGTATGATGTGCGCTGATGCGTTCAACACAACTTTGACACGGACATCTTCACCTCACTTTGACCATACAGCGAAATCTCCCCAGTTTCGCTCAGTTTGAATATGAAACGCATTTAGTCACATCTGTATTTGTGTGTTTACCTCCTTCCGTCGGTTCCTCTGACTCGTCCATCCCCTCCTCCACATTGAAACCCTGTTTTATTGTTTGCTATAGTCCAGTTCGCGTGATTATCACATCTTATCTATCATGTTTAGACCGCTGTTGATGATAATCATGATGATGATGATGATGGTGCTGATGCTGAAGCCTCTTCGCAACATCCGGGTGTCTCCGCGATAAAGATTAAATCCACTGAGCGCCATTAAAGATGCCTAGAGTCAGTCTGACAGTCTTATTCCTATTCTATCCGGACTAAATCAGAGAAAACACACACTGGTTTCGCTCGCAGTTGTGCGTCTGTTTTAAATTAAACCCGTGTTCTGGGAATAGAGTTGCCTGGAATATTCAATTACCTTTGCAGAACATCTAACAGGCTTTGCAACAGGTCACTGAGCCTCAGACAATGTTCATGCACACACTATATCACTCCAGAGCTTCGGCTTCATAAAGTCTTTTTAAACACCCAGATAAAGTTCAACTAAATCTTACCTCGGATTCCCAGTATGAACGTCATCATCTGTCATTGCCCGAGTGCATGTTTTCTGCTCATTATGGCCATATGCTGAAGCACACAGTTAGGGAGTGTGTGTTGGATTACCTGTGTGTAGCAGATAATCCCCATATTAATCCTCTGACTCAAGCCTTCTGTGCACTGAGAGGAAGCCAATGGCGCGCGTGCACGCGAACATTCCGTTCAAACGCGATCTATTGTTGATTTTCCATAAGCAGTGATTAATCATAATTCACATCAACTCTGATTCTGAGGTTGGCCTTATGTTTTCTAATGGCAAGTATTCATTTCTAGCTGTAATGATGCAAAATGAACTTAGTTTTTTCTTGAGCGTGGTTTATTTAGTTTTAACTTTTCTTTAGCTATAAAGAAACACAGAAAGTGAAGTGTGTGTGTGTGTGTGTGTGTGTGTGTGTAACAACGACCTCTTGCGGTTTCTCCATTACATCACAGTTTAAATCCCCGTCATTAATCAATCTGAGCTCAAAGCTCATTAAAATACAGCTCAACTAGTTTATAGTTTAATTCAAATAAATCCAATAATACTCCAATAACCACAAGTTAAAATAGTTCTATACTTGTTTATGGACCAAATATACACTTTCATGCCACATTCATGTTTCTTTTAAAGTGTTTTCACCATCATAGCTCTGACTATGTTTATTTCAGTGCAATCATATTTAACTTAACTTATTCTCCTGACCATAGATGACACAAAATGTAACCTTCAAATCAGCACTTTTGATGAATGGCTGCTATTTTTAAATTTGTGTAATTAAGTCCGTCAACACAGTTTTGAGTTTAATTGATCTAATTTTGTGTCTCTGGGAAATGATTTATGACACAGAATATTATACTGAATATCAGAGTTTTGTGTGTGTCTGTTTGGAAATGAGGGACTTTTGGACACATTCATGTTTTTAGATTTGTGAGTAAAAGTTATAGTTTTTATTTTGAAGAATAAAGATTGAAATTAAACCCTTAGGGTAAGATGAGCCACCAGAATTGGCACAGAAGTTCCCAGAGTGGCATGTTGTTACTAGTGTTATTATTTTTAAATTTAATAATTATTCTAATTTATGGGGTTAATATTCACTATTTCCATTAGATTTACATAAATTTGCTTTCATACGGTTGCTATTGTGACATATCTTCAATATTAGCAATTAAATACGTTAATATTCATATTAACGTTCATGCCATATTCATGCCATAGTTTTGAATTTTCATCTCATAACTATAACTTAGTATATCATAATCAGTGTTGGGTATAATGCATTATTAACTAATTAATTAGTTCTAATTAATTAATTCTCTTGAAAAAGTAAAGTAAGGGATTACTCTTTCTTTTTCTGTAATTTAATTAGTTACTTATATAATTGCATTAAACAACTGTAATTCTATATACCCTACTGTAATTCAATAGTGGATTTAACATCAAAATATAACGTCTAATGTTAAAATGTATGTTTTTAATGTAAGCTTCTCCCTTTAAATATGGTCAGTTCAAGAATAATTTAGGCAATATTATTTATTTGAAAGAGGTAAAAGCAGTTTCATGTCCTTGTCGTTGACATGAGATTTATAATGTAATTAGTAGCTAATATAACAAGTAATGCAACGGTGGAAGACGTCATCATAATTAAATACTTTTTAAGAGTAACTTACTCAACACGTAGCATAACTGATTTAGTGTGTCAGAATTAAGTTACCAAAGCTATTTTTTTAATCTTCCATAGATAAATACAGATTAATTTTAGCATTATACAACGCCCGTTTTAACGGGGCATTAGTGTTTGTTTGAGCGCGGAACTATGAGCGAACTCTGGCGGAAGCACGTGCATAATAATAAAACGGCAACCGGAAGTGTGTGTCCTGGAATGTGCTCCGTGTAGTCGCAGTGAAGATGGAGTGTGTGAATAAAGCGGGGCATCTGATGAGTCTCGCGGCTCTACAACAGCATGATCCCTATATAGTCAAACTGCTGGATGTCACCGGGCAGGTCGCGCTCTATACTTTCAACTCCAAAGCAAACGAATGGGTGAGATTTCTAAACGTGTTGCCTTATTATCAGCGCGTGCGTCATTTAGCCTGCAGTGGCTAATGCTAATAACATCGTCACAAGCCCAGAGTCTGGTGTCTAATGCATGTTTATATAAATTCACACGACGGAATTTTGCCAGCGTATGGGTTTGCTGGAACACAAATGTTATGAATTAGCAATTAACACCTAGATAAACAGTTTAATGATCAGCTTATATCTGAAAGTAAAATTAATATCACATTCTGTCTAGCAATAAAGTTCTGCAAATAAAATCGATATCTATGGAAGCCCATTTACACCACGAAGAAACAAAATCATAATTATGAGATAAAAGTCGGACTTTCTGTCATCATTTTCGTTTTCCATCTCTTATGCCATAAATATGACTGTTTATGTCATTATCATGAGTGTTTTAGAATTTCGACGATTTTTGTCATAATCATGACTTAGTATGTTATTATTTCGACTTTTTAAATCAATCATGACTTGATCTGTCATAATCATGACTTAGTATGTTAGAATTTCAACGTTTTAATCATAATCATGACTTGGTATGTTATTATTTTGATTTTGTTTTCATAATCATGACTTAGTAAGGTAAAAATTTCGACTTTATAATCAATTGTGACTTAGTATGTTTTAATTTTGATGGTTTATTATGTCATAATCATGACTTGGTATCATAATTTTAACTTTTTAATCAGTGACTTGACATGTTAATTATACTGTTTATATCAATCATGACTCAGTATATTAGAATTTCGACGTTTTAATCATAATCATGACTTAGTATGTTATTATTTAGATTTAAAAAAAAAATCATAATTATGACTTAGTATGTTAAAATGTCAATTTTTTTTAATCAATCATGACTTTCAATCAATTTTGATGGTTTTTCATAATCATGACTTGGTATGTTTATAATTAGATTTTTAGTTTCATTATATTTAATTTAGTCTGTCATTATTGTGGTTTAGTATGTCATAATTATGATTTTTTTATGTCATAATGCAGTTTTTTCCTTGTTTTGGTAAAAGGGGCTTCCAAAGATCGCAGCGTGTGTGTGCGTTCACTAGCAGATCAGTTCGTACTGAATGTGAGATCTGTCTGAAACTAACTCCTCTCTCTCACTCCAGGAGAAGACTGAGATTGAAGGCACATTATTTGTTTACGCCAGGTGAGCGTCGACTGGCAGGAACTGAAGCTTGTTCTGTTAGTCACACATTAATCTGTAGTTCAGTCATAATATGTGTGTGTGTGTGTGTTTGTCCGCAGGTCGGCGTCTCCCCATCATGGCTTCACAATCATGAATCGTTTGAGTACAGAAAACTTAGTGGAGCCCATTAATAAAGACTTGGAGTTCCAGCTCCAGGACCCTTTCCTTCTGTACAGGAACGGCAACCGTAAGTTCAGGAACACACACTGTTCATCCCTCGTTTGCAGCGAGGAAGCCCAGACCAGTCAACATTAACCCTATAAGGCCTGCCGTATCATAACCCTATAAGGCCTCGTGTTGGTCAACATGATGCTGATAAACCTGTCGCACTCAATCGTCTGATTTATAGTTTAGACTTTTTTCTTTTAATCTAGTAAAAGTCTAAGTATGATTGTCCAAACGTCCTCCTTTAGCTCGTGCTTCACGTTTACTTGATTTTTTTTTTGTCAAGTGAATATAAGAATAATATGGTATATATATATAATATAATAATAATATTGATATTGTTAGTAGTATTTCAAGATGAACACTCACTGGACTGAAGCAACTTTGGTTTTACTTGATTTTCCATCATTTATTAGAAAAATAATTAGTATCAAATATGATTATCAGGCTTTTGAGGAACGTCTATTTCTCAATCGTCATTGTATTGCATTGCTTTATATGTTTTGATCATACAACTAAGCATTTAAATATCTTACAAAGACAAATAATTATTGGCAGGTATACTGATATTTATATTTATATGCATTTTATGTCAGTATCTGCTATACTGTTATACAAATCTCATTGATTCATATTAAAATAAATAAAACTGAGCTGTTTTTACTACATAAATATGAATACATTATGCAAATATTTTACTGCATTATACGAATATGCTTGCACTCTCTGACACTGACTAGATATATGTAAAATAATGTAGCCACTTTTTACTGGTAACATTAGATATTTGGCATTATCAGGAGCCACAAATATTCCCCCATTGCATTATTATACATTATAATCAACATTGTATATAGTAGTTTAATGCAGTACTGACACTAAAACTTGAAAAAAGAAAAATTATTTTATTTTTTATTGAACTATCCACGATACATATTGTTGCATTTTTTTATTGCGATATATTGTGACACGATATATTGTTGCACCCCATATTTGTGTATTATATTCTGCGTAACCGTCCACGTATTTTGTTTGTGTTTAAATGTCTGTTTCTCTGCTGAAAGAGCAGTTTTCCTTCATTTCTTCGTGTGTGTGTGTGTGTGTGTGTGTGTGTGTGTGTGTGTGTTTTAGTGGGCATCTACAGTATTTGGTTCTACGATAAGGCCGACTGCCAGCGGATCGCACAGCTCATGCTACAGTGAGTATCACTCATAAATCAGCATCACTCGCCCTGAAACCTGCGAGTGATCCGAGTAATGTGTGTATCTGAGGGGTGCCCTGTGTGTGTGTGTAGGATCGTGAAGCAGGAGGCGTTTCGAGCGCAGTGTGTGTCTCCCGACAGAGGCTCGAGTGGCAGGACCAACGGCCTGGTTCAGACCAAACCCACAGATATCCTGGAGCTGCTCAGCAAGGCCAAAGAGGAGTACCACAGGGTATGAGGCCGGGTTTAGACTCGTCTTATAACTCAGTCGTTACGTTCTTGTCCTCAAGACTGGTCAGAACTTTTTAACTCTCATCCTTTACTCGCAGCTTTGTAACGAATCCTCACGGGTCACAATGACCCGAAGCCCTAAAATTATAATTTTTTGTTGTTGTTGTTTAGAAAGCTCATTTCATTTTGATAACATGTTTTTTCAATGAGTTTTTTATTTTTTTATTTTATTTACCTTTTAAATTACTAGATTTTATCTATAAATAACAATTCAAGCACATTCTTTCAACTTAAATTCAAAGTAACTCATCATTTCATGCATTTTCCTTGTAGATTTTAAATCTCTCACATTGGGTGTTTCTGCCGACCTCTTGTGGAAAAATATTAATATAACATGATATTTCATGACTCTTGCCACTAGATGGCTTTATAGCTCTGTCTATATGGAGCAAACGAGCTGCTCTTCTCTGGCCTAAAGTCTGTTTTGATTTATTGATATGCATTCAGATATCTATTTAGACATTATAAAATAGTTTTTTGGTAAAGTTTTAGTATTTTTTACTTGTAATTTTTCCAATGTTTTAAAGCTTTTCTATATGTACTGAAGTGTCAGATATTGTAATAATTTAAATTGGTATGGTGGACAGCAGGGCGAAAAACAAGTAAAACCTTGAAGAATATTTATTTGAAAATCCTGATTTTAATTCAGAAATGAAAAATGTTGTTACAGCTTAAAAAAATGCTGTTATAAGTTCACCATTTATTTTGTGTGTGTGTGTGTGTGTGAGGTCTGCATTTTGACTGATTGAATTTTATTTGAAAAAATTGAGAAATAAAAACCCATTGCCCCCGCTATATGACCCACATTCATTTTAATGGGAATTTGTGTGTGTGTGTGTGTGTGTTCGTTCTGCATAGTCTACTCTAGACAGTAAACATTTTTGTGTGCATTCCAAGTTCAAGTGTATATTGTGATAAATATCATTATCATAGAAAAGATTTGGTCATATAGGGATACATTGATAGGAACATATTGGCCGATATCGGTAACCGATAATTTTTTATGTTTGAAAGCCGATAACCGATATATTGGCCGATAAATCTAAATCCAAATTTTTTTATCGTTTTTGTGAGCAAAAACAGAAGTCTCACCAGTAAAGCCACGTCCCAAACACAATTATATTGTTCTCATGATCATGTTATGTAGCCGATATGACAGACTTTTTTCTCCAATCATATTCCAAGCAATTCAAACCCATCATGTTGAACAGTGCGCATCTGAAGCGTCTCAGCTGAAGGAAATAATCCATTATTTATCGGCTTTAGTATATCGAACAAATTTTCTTATCGGGCCGATAACATTAAAATGAACCGATGGTGGCCGATATGTATCATGCATCTCTAATATCATATAGTTAGAGACGATTATCAGCTTATGTTTAATTCGAGAGATTGTCCGTCATCAGACAGAAGAAAATGTGTAGATAAATAGTGACTAATAATGTGTGTGTGTTTCTAGAGTCAGTCGACAGAGAGAGAGGTTGAGGTGAACTGTGAGTCTGTGCCGTCACAGGAGAAGAGAGACGAGATCACAGCAGCTCAACAGGAGAAGGTGTTGATGATCACACCCGTTCACTAATGTCCTCTAATGTCCTTCACACCCGTTCACTAATGTCCTTCACACCCGTTCACTAATGTCCTTCACACCCGTTCACTAATGTCCTTCACACTCGTTCACTAATGTCCTTCACACTCGTTCACTAATGTCCTTCACACTCGTTCACTAATGTCCTTCACACTCGTTCACTAATGTCCTTCACACTCGTTCACTAATGTCCTTCACACTCGTTCACTAATGTCCTTCACACTCGTTCACTAATGTCCTTCACACTCGTTCACTAATGTCCTTCACACTCGTTCACTAATGTCCTTCAATGTCCTTCACACTCGTTCACTAATGTCCTTCAATGTCCTTCACACTCGTTCACTAATGTCCTTCAATGTCCTTCACACTCGTTCACTAATGTCCTTCACACTCGTTCACTAATGTCCTTCAATGTCCTTCACACTCGTTCACTATTGTCCTTCACACTCGTTCACTATTGTCCTTCACACTCGTTCACTAATGTCCTTCACACTCGTTCACTAATGTCCTTCACACTCGTTCACTAATGTCCTTCACACTCGTTCACTAATGTCCTTCAATGTCCTTCACACTCGTTCACTAATGTCCTCTAATGTCCTTCACACTCGTTCACTAATGTCCTTCAATGTCCTTCACACTCGTTCACTATTGTCCTTCACACTCGTTCACTAATGTCCTTCACACTCGTTCACTAATGTCCTTCACACTCGTTCACTAATGTCCTTCACACTCGTTCACTAATGTCCTTCACACTCGTTCACTAATGTCCTTTCACACTCGTTCACTAATGTCCTTCACACTCGTTCACTAATGTCCTTCACACTCGTTCACTAATGTCCTTCACACTCGTTCACTAATGTCCTTCACACTCGTTCACTAATGTCCTTCACACTCGTTCACTAATGTCCTTCACACTCGTTCACTAATGTCCTTCACACTCGTTCACTAATGTCCTTTACACTCGTTCACTAATGTCCTTCACACTCGTTCACTAATGTCCTTCACACTCGTTCACTAATGTCCTTCACACTCGTTCACTAATGTCCTTCACACTCGTTCACTAATGTCCTTCAATGTCCTTCACACTCGTTCACTAATGTCCTCTAATGTCCTTCACACTCGTTCACTAATGTCCTTCAATGTCCTTCACACTCGTTCACTATTGTCCTTCACACTCGTTCACTAATGTCCTTCACACTCGTTCACTAATGTCCTTCAATGTCCTTCACACTCGTTCACTAATGTCCTTCAATGTCCTTCACACTCGTTCACTAATGTCCTTCACACTCGTTCACTAATGTCCTTCAAATGTCCTTCACACTCGTTCACTAATGTCCTTCACACTCGTTCACTAATGTCCTTCAATGTCCTTCACACTCGTTCACTATTGTCCTTCAATGTCCTTCACACTCGTTCACTAATGTCCTTCAATGTCCTTCACACTCGTTCACTAATGTCCTTCAATGTCCTTCACACTCGTTCACTAATGTCCTTCACACTCGTTCACTAATGTCCTTCACACTCGTTCACTAATGTCCTTCACACTCGTTCACTAATGTCCTTCACACTCGTTCACTAATGTCCTTCAATGTCCTTCACACTCGTTCACTAATGTCCTTCAATGTCCTTCACACTTGTTCACTATTGTCCTTCACACTCGTTCACTAATGTCCTTCACACTCGTTCACTAATGTCCTTCACACTCGTTCACTAATGTCCTTCACACTCGTTCACTAATGTCCTTCACACTCGTTCACTAATGTCCTTCACACTCGTTCACTAATGTCCTTCACACTCGTTCACTAATGTCCTTCACACTCGTTCACTAATGTCCTTCACACTCGTTCACTAATGTCCTTCACACTCGTTCACTAATGTCCTTCACACTCGTTCACTAATGTCCTTCACACTCGTTCACTAATGTCCTTCACACTCGTTCACTAATGTCCTTCACACTCGTTCACTAATGTCCTTCACACTCGTTCACTAATGTCCTTCACACTCGTTCACTAATGTCCTTCACACTCACACTCGTTCACTAATGTCCTTCACACTCGTTCACTAATGTCCTCTACACTCGTTCACTAATGTCCTTCACACTCGTTCACTAATGTCCTTCACACTCGTCCTCTAATGTCCTTCACACTCGTTCACTAATGTCCTTCACACTCGTTCACTAATGTCCTTCACACTCGTTCACTAATGTCCTTCACACTCACACTCGTTCACTAATGTCCTTCACACTCGTTCACTAATGTCCTCTAATGTCCTTCACACTCGTTCACTAATGTCCTTCACACTCGTCCTCTAATGTCCTTCACACTCGTTCACTAATGTCCTTCACACTCGTCCTCTAATGTCCTTCACACTCGTTCACTAATGTCCTCTAATGTCCTTCACACTCGTTCACTAATGTCCTTCACACTCGTCCTCTAATGTCCTTCACACTCGTCCTCTAATGTCCTTCACACTCGTTCACTAATGTCCTCTTATGTCCTTCACACTCGTTCACTAATGTCCTTCAATGTCCTTCACACTCGTCCTCTAATGTCCTTCACACTCGTCCTCTAATGTCCTTCACACTCGTTCACTAATGTCCTCTTATGTCCTTCACACTCGTTCACTAATGTCCTTCACACTCGTTCACTAATGTCCTCTAATGTCCTTCACACTCGTTCACTAATGTCCTTCACACTCGTCCTCTAATGTCCTTCACACTCGTTCACTAATGTCCTTCACACTCGTTCACTAATGTCCTTCACACTCGTTCACTAATGTCCTTCACACTCACACTCGTTCACTAATGTCCTTCACACTCGTTCACTAATGTCCTCTAATGTCCTTCACACTCGTTCACTAATGTCCTTCACACTCGTCCTCTAATGTCCTTCACACTCGTTCACTAATGTCCTTCACACTCGTCCTCTAATGTCCTTCACACTCGTTCACTAATGTCCTCTAATGTCCTTCACACTCGTTCACTAATGTCCTTCACACTCGTCCTCTAATGTCCTTCACACTCGTCCTCTAATGTCCTTCACACTCGTTCACTAATGTCCTCTTATGTCCTTCACACTCGTTCACTAATGTCCTTCAATGTCCTTCACACTCGTCCTCTAATGTCCTTCACACTCGTCCTCTAATGTCCTTCACACTCGTCCTCTAATGTCCTTCACACTCGTTCACTAATGTCCTCTTATGTCCTTCACACTCGTTCACTAATGTCCTTCAATGTCCTTCACACTCGTCCTCTAATGTCCTTCACACTCGTCCTCTAATGTCCTTCACACTCGTTCACTAATGTCCTCTTATGTCCTTCACACTCGTTCACTTATGTCCTTCACACTCGTTCACTAATGTCCTTCAATGTCCTTCACACTCGTTCACTAATGTCCTTCAATGTCCTTCACACTCGTTCACTATTGTCCTTCACACTCGTTCACTAATGTCCTTCAATGTCCTTCACACTCGTTCACTAATGTCCTTCAATGTCCTTCACACTCGTTCACTATTGTCCTTCACACTCGTTCACTAATGTCCTTCAATGTCCTTCACACTCGTTCACTAATGTCCTCTAATGTCCTTCACACTCGTTCACTAATGTCCTTCACACTCGTTCACTAATGTCCTCTAATGTCCTTCACACTCGTTCACTAATGTCCTCTAATGTCCTTCACACTCGTTCATTAATGTCCTCTAATGTCCTTCACACTCGTTCATTAATGTCCTTCACACTCGTTCACTAATGTCCTCTAATCTGCCGTGCAAAGGCAAAAGACCGTAACTTCGTGTTTGGTCAAATTAGTTTTTTATATTTTTGGCACATTCAAGACCCCCTTTATCATGTGGATAAGTATCTTGAGTCAATTCCGTCGTTTTTTCGAGAAAATAATGGGTTGTCTTAACAGTAACTTCCAAAAGCCCGTGAGAAACCAAGGCAGAACACCGTAACACCAGTTACCGCTCTTTGGCTTTGTTTTGGAACGCTCATTTTGAGTTACGGTACTCTGCCTTTGTTTAGCCACGCGTCAATATGAAGTTACGGTGCTGGCGTTCTATCAAATAATGCTACCTTTCAGATTGTACGGTGTTCTGCCTTTGTTTTGCTCTCCATTAAAATTGAAATTACGATGTAGCCGGTGTACTTTGTACAGCTGCCATCAGTCCCTGTAACTTCTGATGTCCTCAGAGCTTTGTCCAGCACAAATGCGGTCAGAACATTTAGTATGGTCTGAACCCGCTCCATCGACAAACGTGCGATAGGCTATCCATCGCGAATGATATATGCAGAGTTGACAGAAAAAATGTTACACACGCCGTAGCAGGTGAATACAACAAAGAACTAAAGCCCCGCCTCACCCAGATCGGGTACCGGACCTGGTTGAAACAATCATGCATATAGCTGGCAGAGTGCCAAAACTTCACCGGCGCCTTCAGCTCCGCCCTGAACACAGTCGGGCCGACGCGGGACTAATATGTCACAGGGAGTGATAATAATGAAGCAACAACGGTATATTGGTGCATACAACATAATGAAGCAAGAATTGCTGGTGCATACAACATCAGACAAGCTGTTACAAGCGGGTTGTACCTACAATCACACTGTCCGGAATAAATCCGCGGGACGAGCGAAGTGCACTGCACAATAATAGGGCAGACAGCTGAAACCACCGCTACTGAAAAGACGCAGAACACAGAAGGTTGTGCTATAAATGCATTAGTCGTCTAGGTAGTCCAGAGCGCGCTCCCCACCGAGTCTCAAGATGGAAAGCACTGCGTTCGTACTTCGTACTTTTCGTGAACGTACGAGGAGCATGACACCTTCGATCACGAATATAGCTACTATAAACGAGTCCCCGGGTCGAATGTGCGCGAGGACCTGTTTTATCGTGATCATTTTGAACGCGCGTTTATCAAGTCTTATGCCACTCGGTACCAATTGAAGATCTTACCGCTATGGAGGTATTTTGCCATATCTCATGTATTAATAATGCCTAGCCTGACTTCGTCATACTCATATTCTAGAAAGAACATGAGTCTGAAATTGATCCATTGGGCTGTGATTATGGGGCGTGTTTCAACCGTACCAGGAAAGAAAATGCCTCTCCATTCAATTGGATAGACCTACAACCAATCAGAGCAACGGAGTAAATGACGCATGTTCTTCATTCATCTTTCCGACCGACAAATGCCTTTATCGCGGTTCTCTGTTCCTCTTTTAAAAGCAATGCGCTGTCGATATCTTCTATAACAGACGCGATGGCATAATCTACACTACACATGATGTTTCATAAACAAAGTTCGGGAGGAGCACGTTCAAATAATCATTCTAATCAACTTGTCATCAAACAATACCATGTCTAACGTTACCCTATCAGCCTGAGAGGAAGCATAATCACTCAGTCAACTCACCTAACACTCCAGTCAACTCACCTAACACTCCTTGACAGTTTTTCAGCATCTCTCGTCCACCACCCCGACTGCTCACTTTCTATTATTTAGAATACGGGGGAGTAACGTTACTCTCGGTTCGGGCTGAATGCCGATCACGGAGCCCTCTCCTCAGACAGCACGTCATATTTCACGAGTTCGCACTTACAAGTAATATAATATAGGCATTTATTCTATCTGACTTACTTGTAAGTGTGAACTCGTGAAATCTCAATTCTCCAGCGGCAGTTATCTTTGCTGTAAACGAATTCAACCCAAGCGCTCTTCAATGACGTGTAACTGCAGATCATCTGTCAATCATCGTATAAAGCCCGCCCTGGCAATTTGATTGGCCCGACGTTTTCTGAACCGGTCATAATTACTCCTCAATGGAGCGAGTCCAGACCGAACTTCCCGAACAAAACATGTTGTGGGCGGGGTTCGGGCTGGCATCCAGGCTAAATAATGCCACCAGAATGCAACCAAAGCACAGGGTAGCAATAAGTAGATGTAGTGTAAATCATACAAAATAAATGCCATGATCACTAGATTTTATACAGGTGTTACTATAATGATTTTGTTAATGGTGATCAGCAACCAAATATTGATAATGTGGAAGTTACTGCCTTTTGCCTTGGCATGACTTCTCACTTTTTGCTGACAATGCAAAGGCAGAGTGTACAGTAACTTTAAAATAGTGGTCAAAAGTCAAGTTTGAGCTCAAGATTTTTTTATGTAGATAATTTTCATTACTAAAACATCTAATTGCCAGATTTACAGTGTCCTACCTATAATTAATTTGGAGGGACAACTGAAAATCTTTAAAGTCATTTTTCTCATTTCCACACTCTGAGTTAAGGTCTTTCTCATTATTTTTTTATTTTGTAATATTTTGTAACTATTGATGTAATATTAACCCTTACTAGCAGGGCTTGACATTAACACCCGCCAACCCGCCAAATGCGGGTGGATTTTGCTCGTGGCGGGTAACACAGTCACTTCAACTAGCCACTTTGGCGGGTTGAATAATTGTAGTCTTTTCAAAAGGCATCTGAAGCGCACTGGCTGCGTGGCGTGCGCGTCTCAGCTGCGTGGTGTGTCCGTTTTTATTTCGGCTCCCATGTTAACAGGTTAGAACTTGCACACTGCCTGCGTGACGCGCGTCTCGAGCCGCGCCGAAAACGCGTGCATGCTAGAAAAAAAACCGACGCCTATTTCTCACGCGACACGCAAGCCTGTTGGAAGCGTTTCCAGGCTAAATAGAATAGGAAAATATGTCATGTTGACACGAACACATATTAATAAATGGCATTTTTATGTTTGAAAGTCCATAGGTTTTGGCAAATGCAGATATAATTTTAAAAAAATCAAATATTGCACCTGTCAATACAGAACGAAATATTCTTATAGCCTATTTTGCCGTCTATGCTGCAACGCCCGAATCCCGAGATAGCCCTCCATGTACGTTACCAGCAGACACCAGTCAGACACGTTTCTGCTGTGCAAAGACACAGAAAACGCAACTTGTAACAACGAATTTCCCATCGGGGCTCAATAAAGTAATTCTGATTCTGATATTTAAACAGACAGTGTTTCTAATGCTAAAGGTTTTTTCAGTTTAGTTTTTTATATTTTTTTATTAATCTTCTACATCCATGCACCACTTTTATTATGCAATAAGAAGCTATGTCTTCATCTTAATACATGGTTTTATAGGAGCTTTAAAGGAGCTTTACACACAACCTTATCAGAGCTAATGATAATGACCTGTATTGTTATACCTAGTCTTGATTTGCGTGTGTACAGTGGTTTTACATTTAAAAGGGTTGTAAATCTAGTTCAAGTAAATTTTAGCACGCCATAGTCAACTTTAATCAGGTAATTTCACAACAACAAAAATGTGGCTAGTAAAAATGCTGTGTGGCTAGTAACTTTGGAAAACCACTAGCCACATTGGCTAGTGAGCAAAAAAGTTAATGTCAAGCCCTGCTTACTAGACAGAACTTACTAAATGTTATTTTAAGGCTATAGTTGTTATCATAGAAATGTTTGTATAGAGTGATAAAAGCCAAAATGGTCAATAAATTAGAAGTTAAGGTATTTTGCCTTTGTATGACCCATGATTGTTTTGCAGATAATGCAAAGGCAGAATACAGTAACTTCCGAATAAGGGTCAAAGGTCAAGTTTGAGCTAATTTTTTTTTAATGTAGATAAATATATTCATTATGACAACTACTTGGCAAATTTTCATTGTCCTACCTATCATACAATTGGCTGGACAACAAAAAAACTTTAAAGTCATTTTTCTCAGTTTCACACTCTGGTGAGTTAAGGTCTTTTGCCTTTGTAGGGCAGTAATGTCCTTCACACTCGTTCACTAATGTCCTTCACACTCGTTCACTAATGTCACTAATGTCCTTCACACTCGTTCACTAATGTTCACAAAAGACCGATATTGGTTTTTTGATGGCCGATGCCAATATCTTAGAGAGCAGGGTGGCCGATATATATATATATATATATACTTTATATTTATTGTAATCAATATTTAATAAATTAGAAAACAAATCTTTAAAATAAACATGCTTATACTTTAGATGGCAACTTCTTGAATCTGCAATCCTATTACAGTATTTTTCACAAATAAAGTAATTGTTTAAATGTATATGAATATGTGAATAAAAAGGAAGTAAACACTGTAATATGGGCACTCGGTAATTTCGTGCGCACTGGTAATCATATTTTTTTAAATAAAGACAAGATAACGCTAATTTTACATGCAGCACACAGTGAAAACAATATGAATATGATAAATAATTTTTTTAATTGAAATACTGTTGATAGCCATGAATAATAGCCATTGCTGCTGATATGGCATTAAAATCATAAATAAATGTAACAGTGTGTCTCTTTCTGCTTCTCCTCCACAGTCGAGTCACTCAGTCGTGAAGCAGATCACAGTGGAAGAGCTTTTCGGCAGCTCTTTCCCCAAAGACCCGTCCCAGTCCCAGTCCCAGTCCCCAGCGTACGGTCCTCCTCTCCTCTCCTGTGACCCGGGCGGCCCGGCGCTGGTCTCTCTGTTCCAGACCCGAGACTCGAGAACGAATGCTTCACACACGCAGGAGACGGGGCGTCGAGGTTCGGCTGGTCCTCCAACTCCTGCGTATATGAGTCCTCTCACAGAGGCTCATGGGATAGCGGTTCCCCTGCCAGGGTTCAGGCCCGGCCCGCTGGTCACGCCACAGAGCTTCAGAGAGACCGGCTGCAAAGCTACAGGCTCTTTCCCAGGGAAGAGTCCAGCGCCGGCTCAGGCGAACACGTCCAGCAACGCCTTCATGGTACGGCACTATTCTTTATTCATTTAAGCAGAAATAGCAGATGCGGTTATTTATAGATGCTCTCTATTAGGGTTCTGCAATTAATTGAATTTCGATTTTGGCTCCCAACGATCACCAAAATAGTACAATCGAGTAAAAATGATTATTTTGCCATGTTCTGGTTTGCAAGAACACTTTATTTTGTCTTGTGTTCTGAATGACGCGCACACATCCCACGTTCTCTTCCTCTCTTCGGCACAGTAAAGAGGTGAACGCTTTTACACCGTCCCTGGCTCTGGTCAAACCCACTCCAGTAAGTTCACTCCTGAAAACACTGACAGGATTTGATATAGGGATGGCCCGATACCGATACTGGCATCGGGGATCGGGCCGATACGGTCCTAATATACTCATACTCGTACTCATAAAAATTCGCCGATACCACGCACCGATACCACGTACATTTTGCAAAACGAAACTGGCCGCCGCGAGTGCTTTGTCGAGGTGAACTGAGGCATAGGAAAGTATAATGTCGGCGGTTTGGGCTCATTTCAAGATAAGGGATGATGACAACAGCAAGGCAGACTGTGAGTTATGTTCAGCTAAGGTGTCGAGAGGAGGGAAAGAAAGTACATCGTTTAACACCAGCAATCTAATTAAACATCTGAAGACGCATCATAGATCTGATGGCCGAGCGCGCGCGCGGGCGGTAATGCACTCACTCTGTGTGTGCGGGTTACGGGAGAATAAAACGATTCGCGGGACTCCCGCAAACTAGAAATATCTATAAATAAAACATAAAAACTAATAGATTTTTATTCATCTCTTGCAGAAAAGCAACAAGAACAACTACAACAAAAAAGAAACGATTTACAGGCCAGAGTTTCTATTCATAACATGGTTACAGCGTTGAGCGATGTAGCCAATCACAGACATATGTGTTGATTTCTGGAACGCAATGGCCAATCAGAAGCATTTAAGATAGACTCCCCTCACCGCTCAAAACGGACTTTTTTATTCAGTGCTGAATTCTGTATGCTGGCAAATCCTCTAATTATAACAAACAAATTGTGGATATTATGAAAGATTGATTGTGCAGTCAGCTTCATTGATAATAACAAAGATGTGTGAGATCGCGAGGAACTGTCAGCTTTTTAGGATTTAAGGGAGCGCACTTTGCGCGCGTTCAGTCATGCCAGACCATGCACGCAGTAGCCTGCTTGCTTTTATGTTAAATTAACAGTGGTTTGTGTGTTAATACATTTATTATTTTACTAAGTTTTATTTATTTTTAGACTTGTTAAAACAAGCAGAGAAGAAAATAAAAACAGTCTTCTAACCTGTGTTCTAAAATAGTCGTCTTCTTTTCTGGGAGCCTATTACTTTTGCGGTAGAAATATCGGTATCGGTACTCGGTATCGGCAAGTACACAAATGTAAATACTCGTACTCGTATCGGTTTGAAAAAAATGGTATCGGGCCATCCCTAATTTGATATATATATTAGGGGTGTAACGATACACGTATTCGTATTGAACCGTTCGGTACGAGGCTTTCGGTTTGGTTTTCGGTACGCATTTTTAAACCGAACGGTTCGTTGGACCATTTTTCCTGCCGACCAAAATTTCGTTATTTCAAATGTAGGCGCGTCGCGAGTGGCAAGCGCGCTCGTAATGTAAGAGACGCTGGTGTGACCACAACATTGCCCAACATCAAATGGCAAATGTAATGTAAGCGGAACGAAACTGAGCTAGTCGTTATTGTGTGTTTGACGGACCGTTTATCAGTTTGGACCAATGCAGCGCGAGCCGATCATCATCAGCACTGTTACTACACAGCCAAATCCAGTGAAGAAAACATTCGCCACTGAAGTAATAACATCGCTGCGAGATCTAGTGAGAAACATTCGCATTTCTCTGTTATTAACGGATCAAACAGCGCTGACGTGGAAACCAGGAAGAAACATTGTGCCATGAATGAACTATCCAGTGTCCACAGATCAGCAACATTCACCATGGGTTTACTGTAGTAACAATAACTGTAACCATGGGAGTTTGGCAGGAATAGTAGCCTAGGCTATAAAGCTTTCAGGTAACATTATGTCGGTTTTATTTGGACATTATGAATACAATTGCTGCCCTCAAATGTTAATCTGAACTAAAATAAACCTTTGTTTATAACTACTACAATATTACATTTCATTTTGTCCAAGGAGCTGTTTTATTTCATATGCTCCTAAGAAAAGTCAAGTATAGCTCCATCATTGCTCAAAGTAAGAAAAATATCATACTTTATGATGTTAGTTTTAATAAAAATATAATAAAAAAAATTAAATCAAGGAAATTTCTCTGGCATTTCTTTCTTTTTGCTGTATCGAAAACGTACCGAACCGTGACGCAAGTTCAAATTTTGTGAACCGTTACACCCTTAATATATATATATATATATATAGTTTGGCGGCAGTATATTGACATGACTAATGTGATACCTGAGATTGTGAACAATGGTTTGTTGTAACCTGTAATCGAGTTTAATACTTTTTTGGCACCGACTGAATTGCCTCGATATCGAGTATCAAAAAATGTCTTGTTCGGTACCAAATTTCGATGCCTAAGGGGTTCATCTAGTCAACGTCTGTGAGCCAATTAGCATGCAGAATGACTGGCTGTGGCGAGACATCAAGGAAAAACACTCGTTTCCCCCTAGAGTCGTGGCTCACATGTGAGTCTGTGGTAGGGCTGGGAATTGGCAAAAATGTGACGATTCGATAGTATTGCGATATTTGGGCCACGATTCGATAGTATTGCGATTCTTAACATATTGCGATACAGCAAGTATTGTGATTCGATTCTGCGATATATTGCGATTCATGTCCCCCATATTATTCAAAGGCATTACAAAAAAATGAGGAAAATAAGACTGCTCAACTCACTTCAAATGTCACATTTAATTCTGTGAACATTATCTTCAACACATTAACTGAAGTGCAACAACATGAACATTCAGGACACAGGACCTTATAGGCTCGGACACACCGGGACGAATATCGGCGCGCGTTATCCGTCAGCGTTTTTCAATGCGTTTTTTGTGTTCACACCCAAGCGATTTTCGCTGACGTTGAGCCGAGTGAACATGCAAATTCATTCCCTGACATGAGATGGCGCTTAATTTAAAACAGAAATAGTCCTATTTTGTAGTCGCTGTCGCGTTTCTAATATAGTTCTTTCTGTTCCGACACCAACGAGACCAGCAGCTCTACATTCATCTGGGCTTGCGTCTTCCTCGTCTTATTTCTTCCCGGCAGTGTAGACGCTACTTGGCGCATCTTCTTCGCCGTTACGTATGTGTGCTCGGCAAGACCGTTTTGTGTCTGAGCGCCCCCAAGTTGTGTTTTACTGTAACTTCAGAAGCTCCAGACACGTGAGCAAAAGCGCCAATCTCATTGGTCGGATAGTTTTTGACGCGGTGCGTCAAACCAAAAAAACGAACCCGAGGCGTTTTTAAAAAAATGACGCTTTTACGTGTGCCGTTTTTCGCGTTGGTGTGCACACTCACATAGGCGCCCTTTGTTTAGTCACGAGGCGTTAAACGTCGGCGAATATCGCACGCGAAATTCGTCCCGGTGTGAACAGGCCTTATTACAGGACATATTCTCTGAACTGGAGACCTCTCACATGAATGCTGAGCTCCCAGCACATAACTTACAATTATTTAAATTAGGGCTGTCAGTTAAACGCGTTCTTAACGGCGTTAACGCAAACCCATTTTAACGGTGTCAATTTTTATAATCGCGTGATTAATGGTCTTTTTGGCCTAGAAAACTTTGTAGTTTTTTTCACATGCTTTTGCAACAGGACGCGGCAAGGACGTTTTGTTGCTTCGCCAACCAAAGTGCAAGCGGATCTAGCTAGACCGGAAACAAAACAACAGGCACACCGCACACACTTGCTTGGATCTGCGAGCCGGCCAAATAGTAGGTTAACGTTACGCTTTGAGTGGATGACGAGCACGAGACGCCGAAATGGATGCCAATAAGATTCTGAATGGAAAGTTTACTTTTAAAAAGTTGCCAAATGGTCCCATTGACAAGACCAAAGTGATCTGTGTGTTTTGTCGTTGTGAACTGAGCTATCATCATCGCAGCATGTCCAGTCTGAAATACCACTTGATGATGGCCAAGCACACACACACACACACACAGCTGATGCGAATTCTCCGCCCCCTCGTCAATATCAGGACCTCGTCAGTATTTCTTTCACACTTTTATTGATGGACAGTGTTACATTGTGTGAGAGATTATTTGCTCCAAGTGAGAATGTTAGTGTGAAATTGAACACAGTATATGCCAATGTTGTTTTCAATAAAAAACATTTGCACAAAGCAAGCCGATCCACTTTTCCATGTTGATGAGCATTAAAATGAGAAAAAATAATGGGACAAAAAGAAATCAAGAGACATTTAGAATAGATAAAAATGTGTGATTAAATATTTTAATCGTTTGACAGCACTAATTTAAATGCAATAGAGTAACATAAACCTGAGAATAATCATATAAATAATGTCAAGGTCTTTACTACACGCTTTTTGATGAAAACCGAAATTCACCCACACTTTCGATTAGAAAGAAGACGGAGCGTTGTGTTCAGCCGGTTGTGATGGTGAAGCCATTTTCATTTGAATCTGCTTTTGAACGCATGACAACACAGCACCGCAACAAGTGCCACGCAAATGTAAATTATCAGAGTATTATAACCTCTGAGAAAACCAATGGAGAAAACCTGAAAGTAAAACAGATAATTTTATAATTAACTACTGTATCGATATAATTGCGTGCGCAAAATATCGCGATACTGAACAGAACCGATTTTTTCCCCCACCACTTGTCTGTAGTGTGTAAGTGCCCCAACCCCTATAGATGGAAAAGATGTGGAAAAGATCAAAAGTGTGGTTACATTTCACAAGGCTTGTTTCCTACAGCGCGCGATCCAATATTTGCGACATGGTAATTACTGCTCTGACAGTGCAAGGAATAACCTTAAGAGCGGAAAGTTGCTCCGTCTTTGACTGCAAATGAGCCGGACTGCGTCACAAATGAACCGAATCTCAGCGTATAGGCTATTCGCCTCATAGATGTGAGAAACGGGCAAATAGAAAGCTTGAAATGTCTACTTTTAAACTAACCAATTCGAATCGAAAACAAATACTGGTAACACTTTATTTTACAGTGTCCTTGTCACACGTTACATGTACTTACTGTAGTAATAACAGTAAATTATGCATAATTACATGCAACTAACCCTCAACCTAATCCTAACCCTATAGTAAGTACATGTAGTTAATTAATATCACTCATTGTTACAGTGTAAATATACATTTAAGTACTGACACCTTAAAATAAAGTGTAACCCAAATACTCTCTGATTATGTAATCCAAATGAAAGTTGCATTTCTCTCTATAGGCACGCGTTCACTTCACTGCCGAGATGACGAGTCGGCAACATCAACTCAGAACTAGTTCATTAATAAACAATTAAAATGTTTCCTTGGTATTTTTTCCTGACACATTCATAATCATTAGGCTGCGTTTGCCAGTGCTTTGCTGCAAGCTTTATGCGTGCGCTTATATCCCGCCAGTCTGTACAAAATGTCAACAAACTGAAATAATAAAACCAAAGGGTTTTTTAGGTAATGTAATCGTTAAAAAACGTATTTCATAAAATTGGTATTGGAAAAAGTATCGTTCAGTAAACGGTATCGAAGTCAATGTATCGGTATCGAAATCTCTTACACACGGTCGCTCGTTAAAGGATAATTCCGGTATTTAACACTTTGAGTCTATTTTTTAGTTTGTTTTGGATGAACTAGAGTGGTGGACTTAGAAATTTTGACGATGGGTCCTGTCTCGACTTTTTTAATATTTTAGAATCGCCTCTGAGCGCTTCAGAGTGGCTGTCTATGGGCATGCTCAAACATGTCCTTAAAACAACCCTTAACGTTCGTTTTCAAAACTGTGCAACTCACAGAGTGGATAGTGGTGTTTGTTGATGATTAAAAACAAATATATCGGCGCAATGTATGCTTTCAATCCGTGTTATTTGCTATATTGGAACTATTTTTTCAGATACCTTACAACCGCGTATAAACTTCCGCTGGATATTTGAGTCTGAAGCGTTAGCCCACCCCCGACCACTTGATGGCGACAACCACTTTGCCGCAGTTGCTCAGCTCACGCTAGCCTTCTGAGAGACGGAGAACCGAGCGAAAAGACTACAACCAAATGTAAACAGACCCCTTTCCGTTTCCGGTAGCGCAGTAATATCAACGAGCACTGAGTCCTCCAGCAGACATCAATGCGATTTAAAAAAATGGCAAATAAAACACGACAGAAACTGTATTTCGCTACGCTACTTGTTTTGGAACATCAACAAACACCACTAACCACTCGGTGAGTTGCACAGTTTTGAAAACGAACGTTAAGGGTTGTTTTAAGGACATGTTTGAGCATGCCCATAGACATCCACTCTGAAGCGCTCAGAGGCGATTCTAAAATATTAAAAAAGTCGAGACAGGACCCATCGTCAAAATTTCTAAGTCCACCACTCTAGTTCATCCAAAACAAACTAGAAAATAGACTCAAAGTGTTAAATACCGGAATTATCCTTTAAGAATATTTCAGTAGTCCTAATTCATCAACATTAGAACGAGGTTAAAGGCCCTGAGAGACGTGAAACCGAAAGGCCAAAACAAAGTTCGTTTAGAGTTCGAAACCGCTTCAAACTGCCATTGGTCCGTGGTGATGACATCAGAGGTGGGTGTGGCCCTGAGGCTCCGCCTTTGTGGAAATCTGCTCTCTCTCTCTCTCTCTCTCTCTCTCTCTCTCTCTCTCTCTCTCTCTCTGTCTGTCTTCCATGCATTGCTCAAGGTTGAAACCTTTATTGTTTTAAACAGCATTTTTAAATGTTTTAATGAGTGTTTTTCAAAGAAGACATTCGTTTGTGTTTTCAAATATTGCCAGAGCCGCAAGTATCAATGTCGGGTGTTTAATTTTATATTAGGTCATGCAAAAATGGTCGATTTACATTACAAGAAAGGTAATTCTGTGAAATCTAGAATATTAATAGATTTTAATTATTACAAAGCAATGCCATTTAATGACCGTATGAAGTTTCTACTAATTCGGTGTTGTAAAGGTGTATTGTGTGAAATAGTTGAATAATTTTTTCTCTAATTTAAGATTGGTATTTTAAATTGATTGATGCTTGATTCAAATGTGAATTGTATGGGGTTGTGTATTGTAATAAAGGTGTTTTAAAAATCTCTCTCTCCCTCTCTCTCTCTCTGTCATATGAAGGCGGGGCCAGTCGTCCAGGGGGAGGAGTCTTCTCTGCTACTGTCTCCTAGTGTATTTCAGCATTTCATCACCAAGACCCCGGATCCCCCCAGAAAGCCCCTGTCCCCGACGCCCCCCCCCACAGACCTTCCCCCGGCCCACTACAACCGCAACCAGCTGCAGGACACACTCATACATCTCATCAAGGTACTAACTCTCACACTTCAAGTTGTGTGTTTATACAGTCATACATTATTTATTTATTATTATAAGTTGCAGTACCTTTATTTTGAAGGATTGGTTCAAGTTTATGTGCAAAAGTGCGTGCAACCGATGTAATGGCATTTTACTGACACAAAATACAGACAAATAAAAGTCGTCAAATTTATTTACACAGCGCTTTTTACAATACAGTGTTTCAAAGCAGCTTTACAGAGATAACAGGGAAATAATGCAACAAAGTTTGTTTCCAGAAGAAAATAGCATCACAGTCCAGCTTAAGCAAGTTCAGTGATGTTTAATTTTTGTTAAAAAAAAGTTATTAAAAAAAGTATTACCGTATTTTCCGCACTATACGGCGCACTGGATTATAAGGCGCACCTTCAATGAATGACCTATTTTAGAACATTTTTCATATATAGGGCGCACCGGATTATAAGGCGCATAAGATCAGTCAAACGTTTGACTGGGTTTGCGTTATGCATCCACTAGATGTCAACAAATGACAACAAAACAGTCAGATAAAGTCAAACTTTATTAAGCGTTCTGCCAACTCCGTTCACTCCCATGGTAACGTTGTTCAAACGTTAAAGGAAAACTCCGGTCAATTTTAACATTGAGCTCATTTTTTTGTAAATTTGGAGTGCTGTCAGTACAGATAACAACGACAAAAATCGGTGTTGCCTACGGCGAGTTATCCTCTTTTTAAAATTTGCACCCTGTTGACTTAAACGGGACAAGTTTTAAACCTGCTTTTAGCCTCTTAACAACCTTAATGTGTCATTACAAGTGCACAGCCATGTGAGTGAACACGGTGAATCTGACTGCAGTAAATGTGAAAGATATGAATAAAAATGATGTTTATTCAGCCAGCTGCTCACATACCCGCATTTTCTTCCTGTTTTCGGTCGAAGTCCACAGTGGTCGATTGTCGAGTGCGCGCGCGATCATTGGTAACTAAGCAACAGTGGAGACTCAGACTGTCAGCCGATGACGGTGCTGTGTGGTGTTCTGGGAATATCAGCTCAAATGGATAGTTCATCCGAATCAGATGTTGAACACACGGAGGAGGTTTGATCGCGCGCGCGCGAACTCGACAATCAACTACTGTGGACTTCTGCCGAAAACAGGAAGTAAATACGGGTATGTGAGCCGGCTGAATAAAGAGATTATTCCTGCCTTCGTGAAAGCTCGGATCACAGTTGAGACTGATACATCAGCCCAGGCATCCACGATCCATTGGCAGATAGTGGCGTAAGTCGCCCGGCGCTGTCTCTCCGTCTTGGTGAACGTGTGTTCCCCATCCATATATAAGACGCTCCGCATTATAAGGCGCACTGTCATTTTTTGAGAAAATTAAAGGCTTTTAAGTGCGCCTTATAGTGCGGAAAATACGGTATTATTTGTAAAAAAGTTATTAATTTAGTTCATTTATATATATACAGCCGCTCTGGATTAAACCGTGATGTCATCGTCCAGCTCAGATCAGTTCTTGTATAATGGTGTCAATGCAAGCAGATCAGTATTATTGTTGAATATTAAATTAAATGTTAAATTAAATGTCCCCAACTAAGCAAGCCAAACGGCGACAGAAACTAAGGCCCTGTCCACACGCAGACGCGTTAAACTGTAAACGTACACATTTTGTATCGTATTGGCGTTTCGGGACACTGAAACCGCTATTTTTTTAAACCGGGTCCCAGAGTGGATAAATCTGAAACCGACACCCTTGCGTTTTCGTGTGTACGGCCAATCCGTACATTTTGTGACACGATGATGTCATCACACCACGTGTCAGCATTAGTCACACACACCGCTACGTCACACGTAGCAGCAACAACAAAGGCGGAGTATATGCTTGTGTTCGCGCTGCAGAAGATCCTGAGCCTATTCGCTTTACTAAAGCACACTCTTCTGCTCCTGCGGGGAGCAATCTTCATCTTCGCCTTGCTGTCGTGTGGGGTTCGTATAGAGTTCGCAAGGTTATCGCATGCTCCAAGTCCTCTTCTCCTTGTTTAGTGTATCTCTGTGGCAGAACTACAGCGCCACATACTGGTCTGGCATGTATACCACATCGGTTTCAGTGGTTTCGTGTGTATGCATATATTTCTTGAGACGACGCCGTGTTTACGAAAAAAAATTTAGAACGAGGACAAAAAAAAAGATCGGATAGGGAAAGCTCTGGCTTCGTGTGGATGTGGCCTGAATCTCTCGTTGGCTGCATGCTGCGAGAAAGGGAAATAGTCTTTGATTCTCCCACACGAACGTTCAAGTCCTCTGTGACGAGAATAAAGCTTTATCTGAACATGCATAATGTCTGTGGTGCCGCTTGCTTGCATGATCTACGAATCTGACATGAATAAACTTGAACCAATCCTTCAAAATAAAGGTACTGCAACTTATAATAAAGTATAACTGTATAAATAACAAACACAAGTTAAATTCTAAATTATGAAAGTGATTTTAGAAAACAAACAAATTATATAATACAGATGAAACTTGAAAAATGTGAATATCGTGCAAAAGTTCATTTATTTCAGTAATTCAACTTAAAAGGTGAAACATATATTATATAGACTCATTACATGCAAAGTGAGATATTTCAAGCCTTTATTTGTTATAATTGTGATGATTATGGATTACAGCTTATGAAAACCCCAAATTCAAAATTTGAATATTGTGAAAAGGTTTTCATAAGCTGTGAGCCATAATCATCACAATTATAACAAATAAAGGCTTGAAATATCTCACTTTGCATGTAATGAGTCTATATAATATATTAGTTTCACCTTTTAAGTTGAATTACTGAAATAAATGAACTTTTGCACGATATTCAAATTTTTCAAGTTTCACCTGTAAATGATATTAACAGTCAGGGCAAGTTTTGTGTGCAGCTTCATAGTCTTCACGTGTGTGTGTGTGTGTTCATTTGTTTGCAGAATGACGCACATTTCCTCAGTGCGATCCACGAGGCGTACGTACAGAGCATCTCTAAAGGCCTCAACAACATCAAGCTATAGCCACAGTCTCACACATCACGAGCCGTCTCAGATTCACTGAGCACACACACACACACGCAACAACCCATCGACACTCCCAACAAGCGTGATGTTCCTGCTGGAATCCTGATTTATCCCCGTCGGCCAATCATTACTTCAATTATGTTCAGGGACTTGTGCAATAAGAAGCATTGGAAAATTGCTTTTCATTTACGGCGTATGGATATGATCCAGTATCCCAGTCTCAGTGGTGTTTTACTGTTAAACCAGTATGTTTGAGTGTTATATTGAATTATATTTGGATTTGAAGAGTAGGATGTGCACTTATTCCCTATTTTCTCATAAACTCACTTTTTGGGCCTAAAAATCACAAGTGCATAAATTAGAGATTAGTAGAGCTAAACATTTTCCCCTCGATAACGCGTTCTGTGGAGCCGTGTATTGCTTTTTTAAATTGCAGACCGTAATATGAAATATTAAGTGGTTTATTTAAAGTCAGATGCATCAAATCAACATTTCTGTGTTATCGGCTAGTTTAAGACGTCATTCTGGTGATCGTTTCTGTGTCAGCCGCAGAAGAAATAGACCAGATCATTTAACAGGTGCGTTTAATTTCATCAGTAAAAGTAGAATGAACTGTTCCTGCGCACTAACTAGTTCATCGTTTGCTCGTTTGACAGGAATTGTATTTTTTTTTTAACATGCACAAGGCTTATTGTGTTTACACTTAAGAAAAATAGGAACTTTTTTTGTACAGTTTGCTTTTGATTATCATAGAGAATTTTAAAACCTCAGCACAAATGAAAGTTGATCCAGTATTGCAGCAAGTCTTTACTCGCATCACACACAATGAACTCGCAAACGCTTCAGGATTCTCTGTTACAGTGGTTTGTCTTTTGAGTTGATGTGCAAATAAACTATTGCCATAATTTAGGTCATTGTTTGTATTGTATTACAGTGAGATCTTACATGTTTGCCTGTCATAAGCATGTTTAGATTCATTTTGCTTTTATTTAAAGAGCTGTGATGTATTGATGCGAGTACAAGCTTTCCGTTACCAGATAAAACAATGCCATAATCTTTTCAGAGTTTATGAAAGTCACTCCTCAAATATAGTGTGTCTGATTATTTCCCATATGAAGTTCGAGTTTACTGAAATGCTCATTAGTCCAGGGCTTCTCAACCCTGTTCCCGGAGATAAAACACACACTTTGGATTCTTGCGTATCTGATTACCCGATTCATTTCAGGTGTTTTGAGTGTGTACTAATGTGCCGAAGAGTTGAATCAGATATGAAACGAGTAGTGTTGATGTGCCTCCAGGAACAGGGTTGAAAAATGCTGATTTAGGTCTTAATCGTTCATCGTTTAATTGTAACATGAAACGGGGCGATGTGTATATTTCAGCCAAACAGAGACAGCAGAACTGCTTCTTCACTCTACAGAATATAAAAATGAAATCATAAACTTAAGTTGGCGGTAGTTATTGTGCCGTATATCTGAGTGAAACGCTACTAGAACAGGCGGGGCTTAATGTTGATTGGATGGTTGTAGTTTGCTATTGGTCGATCTCATGCGAGTGACAGGTTGCCCCGCCCTCACGCCAGTAGACACGTCATCAGAGAAGATGGAGGCAAATTAATAAATAAAAAAATGATGATGTGCATGAATAAACCATTTGCACAAAATACTGCAATATTCCATAAAGTTTAACAGGCCCATTTACACCAAGGGCGATAACTATAAAGATATAGTTCTAAAAATCGTTCTCAATATTAAAGAATAGTAGAGTTGACACCACAGATACAACGGCACAGAGAAACAATATCGTTGGAATCACTTTCAGAAAGATTTTATCCAGCTGATGAACGATAAAAAACATTGACAGCCAATCAGATTCAATCCTGCTGTAACGAGCGCGAGCATTTAAAGCGGCAGACAAGCACGCGCTTATAATAAACAGAACTAATAGTTATATTTTTAGTTATCGTTAGTGGGAACGGGGCGGGCCTTGGAGTTAAAGGGATATTTCACCCAAAAATGAAAATTAGCTCATGATTTATTCACCCTGAAGCCGTCCTAGGTGTATATGCCCGTTCACTCTTGTGGCGTAAGTCGACCTGAAGTTTTAAATTGGATATTTTTCATACACGAACGCATCGCTTCACTTCAGAAAGCCTTTATTAACCATCAGAGCCGTGTGGAGCACTTTTATCATCACGGATGGATAGGGTTTGATGGACTTCCACAAATATAACGTTATACCCACTTCCATTATAAGGCTTCGAAGAGCCAGGACATTTTTTTTTATATAACTCTGATTGTACTCGTCTGAAAGAAGAATGTCATATACACCTAGGATGGCTTCAGGGTGAGTAAATCATGGGCTAATTTTCATGTTTGGGTGAACTAACCTTTAAGTTTCACACATATCTCAGTTTTTATTATTTCCCCCCTCTCATTTCGGCGTTACACACTCCTATCCAGTTAGTGGCGGTAAAGCACTTGAGCTGGTTTACCATCCGCCATTGAACTTCAGAAGAAGTCGTTGTTGTCAATAAATAACTGAAGTTGCGGGTGAAAATGGCTAAAAGGTGTGTTTTCGGTTGTGTTCCTAACAAAACCCTGTTCAGTATCCCGAGACCTCGCTGGTTACGGGTCCGCTGGCTCGAGTTTTTGCACTTTGAGGAGGAAGGGTTAACGGTGAATTCGCGTTTGTGTTCGAGGCATTTCTCCTCCGAGTGTTTCCAGAATTTAACACAGTACGAAATGGGCTTCGCGAAAGTGCTTTACCTGAAGAACACGGCGGTTCCGTCAGTTTACACGGTCGGTGCAGAACACAGTGCGAAGGTATAGTGTGTATCCAAACTCCTCATAATAATAACATCTCATATCGATATCATATAGTTCTGATGTTCCGTGCCCGACAGCCCCTGACGCGAGATGTGGGCTGCCAGTGTCGCGATCAAACCCCGAAGAAAAGCGCTTCGGTTCAGGCGTCATTCTCCACACCGAGGCCGAAACGACGCAGTAAAGGTGAGGTTTGGGTCGGTGGTGTGTATATGGCAAGCCGTTTTGGCTTCTAATCAGTCGCAGGATATACATTTGTGATAGTTTTCACTTGCTAAAATGCTAATTCTAGATGTCAACGATGACGTCATCGCTCGCAGAAATGCGAATCGTTGATACCAAGAATTTAATTTCATCTGGTAGAAACCATTCATTTAAATGTCACCATAGGCTGCCATTCAATATAGATATATTCAATTGTTGATATCAAGAATTGATTTCTTACTAGTTAAAATTCCAATTTCACATCTCAGAAATAGTAGCCTAACAAACATAATAGTACGAGGCTGACTCCAGCTCCTTTTTCGCCAGCTCCTTATTCGTCGAACTATTCGTTCCACCTTAAAAATGTTGGACGGTTGTTAACCCCTCCCTCTCGGTGCTTTTGGTCGTATTTCTTAAAGGAACAGTTGTATGTGAATTACAAGCCTGAGGATCGGGCAGCATTTTTCATTTAACAGTGATTTTCATTTAAAAGTGAAAATAAATAGCTGTTTCCAATGTAATTTCTGTTCTTTATTAGAAGTTATCCATTACTCCAGTCTAACATATATATATATATATATATGTATGTATATAGGTATGTATGTATGTATGTATGTATCTATCTATATATATGTGTGTGTGTGTGTGTGTGTGTGTGTATATACTGGACAAAGCATACTGGAGGTGTCATTACTTTAGTATTTCACAAGTTCTCAAAAAAACAGGAACGTAGAGGCATAGATTAATTCATTGTTAAACGAAATCTTGCATTATAACATTTTCTGATGTGGTGTTATTGAAATATGGTACCCAGAACATGCCCCACCATTGCAGCTTTTTGTGCCGACATAGCATACTGGAGGTGTCATTACTTTAGTATTTCACAAGTTCTCAAAAAAACAGGAACGTAGAGGCATAGATTAATTCATTCTTAAACGAAATCTTGCATTATAACATTTTCTGATGTGTTGTTATTGAAATATGGTACCCAGAACATGTCCCTCCATTGCAACTTTGTGTGCCGACAAAGCATACTGGAGGTGTCATTACTTTATTATTTCACACGTTTTCAAAAAAACAGGAACGTAGAGGCATTGATTAATTCATTCTTAAATGAAATCTTGCATTGTAACATTTTCTGATGTGTTATTATTGAAATATGGTACCCAGAACATGCCCCACCATTGCAACTTTATGTGCTGACAGCATACTGGAGGTGTCATTACTTTAGTATTTGACAAGTTCTCAAAAAAACAGGAACGTAGAGGCATAGATTAATTCATTCTTAAACGAGATCTTGCATTATAACATTTTCTGATGTGTTGTTATTGAAATATGGTACCCAGAACATGCCCCACCATTGCAACTTTATGTGCTGACAGCATACTGGAGGTGTCATTACTTTAGTATTTCACAAGTTCTCAAAAAAACGGGAACGTAGAGGCATAGATTAATTCATTCTTAAATGGAATCTTGCATTACAACATTTTCTGATGTGTTGTTATTGAAATATGGTACCCAGAACATGCCCCTCCATTGCAACTTTATGTGCTGACAGCATACTGGAGGTGTCATTACTTTAGTATTTCACAAGTTCTCAAAAAAACAGGAACGTAGAGGCATAGATTAATTCATTCTTAAATTAAAAATCTTGCATTACAACATTTTCTGATGTGTTGTTATTGAAATATGGTACCCAGAACATGCCCCACCATTGCAACTTTATGTGCTGACAGCATACTGGAGGTGTCATTACTTTAGTATTTCACAAGTTCTCAAAAAAACGGGAACGTAGAGGCATAGATTAATTCATTCTTAAATGGAATCTTGCATTACAACATTTTCTGATGTGTTGTTATTGAAATATGGTACCCAGAACATGCCCCTCCATTGCAACTTTATGTGCTGACAGCATACTGGAGGTGTCATTACTTTAGTATTTCACAAGTTCTCAAAAAAACAGGAACGTAGAGGCATTGATTAATTCATTCTTAAATTAAAAATCTTGCATTACAACATTTTCTGATGTGTTGTTATTGAAATATGGTACCCAGAACATGCCCCACCATTGCAACTTTATGTGCTGACAGCATACTGGAGGTGTCATTACTTTAGTATTTCACAAGTTCTCAAAAAAACAGGAACGTAGAGGCATAGATTAATTCATTCTTAAACGAGATCTTGCATTATAACATTTTCTGATGTGTTGTTATTGAAATATGGTACCCAGAACATGCCCCACCATTGCAACTTTGTGTGCCGACAAAGCATACTGGAGGTGTCATTACTTTAGAGTAGTAAGGATTCAGGGGCGGA